CCGTTTGCCTTCCTTACAGAAATGACATCGCAAGCGGGTGTACATTCCGTGGAGCCAACTGAGTGGAGCCGATCATCTTTTCTTTGCCGTAAACGAAAATGGCAAAATTCGTAGAAGTTTGAGATATGCACTGGCTGCAAGTGACCTTTCGGTTACAATAGTTTTGCCGATATCGCACGGTCACGGACTGGTTGATGTCGACAGTTCGGTGTCAGGGGTGAAATGACTGACGGCTAGCCCAGGGCAAGTGTCCTTTTATAGTCAGGGTCCTTGTTTAACCGAGTCACCATATTTGATTTAGGGGTTGCATCAGAATGAATGGGGGAGCGAGTGCAAAAGTCTATTTCACACCTCTCACCCTTCCCCAGATCTAAGATGGCGAGCAAACGTTTTTAGGATGAAATGTCGAGCGCTTGCTCACAGAAGCATGCCTACACAAAACGAAAGATCGTGGTCTTGGAAAGTAGGGAGTATAATAAACTTATGAGTAGTGGTTACGTCAATGGGGTTAGCTAGAGTAAATCAAACATGAGAGCTACCACACCTGTCCATTTAAGACGCCTGCTACAAACGCTGTTTTTAGGAATGATCTGAACTCAAATTTCAGTTGTGACTCCCCAGTGACGTTGAACTCTCCCATCTTCTGTTTGACATGTCCATCAGGTATACCGAAGAAGCTGCTTCCTGGAATAGTGTCCATCTGGACTGCAGGCCTGTTAAAAACGTAGCTGTACTCAGTGAAACCGTAGAAGTTTTCTTCTAGCGTAAAGCACTAGGCGCCTTGCGTAGTTTATATAAGCATAAGCGGCTGTGATACCTTAACCCGAAATAACTAACACTACCAATTGCTGAATCGCAAGAGTGTTATACCTTCTGGAGCAGAAAGAGCGATTTCCTTGCACCTCAACTGGCTCCCACAGATTCAGGGCCTCCTGATTGAGCACAACGTTATCGATACAGCCATCAAAGTACCGATCACTCTTGTTTGCCTGCGTTAGAAAAGAATTTTGGTGTTAAATGAAGGATCGCTATCATGTTCGTTTAAATTTCGAAAGGAATTGACACACATGGTTAGAGAATTCCTCCTTTGTCACATTCCTGATCACTCCGTTTTCGTTAATCATTCACACCCTACTATCGGTGTCACTAGTCTCCATATTCTTCTTTTTAAAAATTCCTCTGGTACTGACAAGGAGAATTCGTTTGACAATCAAGAGTTTCTTAGGCTGGCGAACATTTCTGTTATTCTAATTCAGCAGTATTACTGTAAGAGGAAATTGGATGCTGGTAACTCTTAAGGTTTAACGGGGTTAATCCTCCAAGAGCTTGTTTAGTTGGTGATCATTTCCTTTATTCTCCTGACCTTTATGTGCGATTCAGGGGTGATATTGTAAGGAGAAATTAGATACTAGTCACTCAGAGGGTTGACTTAATTCTTCGCGTCGCGCTGCTGTTTCAATGAAACAGTCAAGAACTTTATCTGACTTACCATGACTCCATCCGGAAGACCTCCAATGTGAACATGATCATTAAAATTGAAGTCAGTGTCGAAAACTGAAGAAATTATGTTCGAAGGACTCTCGTAAGTCCGGCTAAAGTTTCTACTGTGATCTGTCACTGTTAAACGCCCTTCCTTCTCGTACCTATAAATATAAAAACGTATCAGAGGAAAAGGCTGCCATAAAGATGTTTATTGTTGTAACAGGAGAAAGAAGTGTTTACGAATTAGAGTTTACTGATTTTCTTTCTTTGGTCGAGTAGCGTTTCCTTTGAAAGTAAGGATTAACAAGGACCAATATTGACTGACAAAGTCACTGACCGTGTGGCGTAAGCTGTGTACCAGTGCCCAGGCCTCACCGGTACTGCCCAGTTTGTGATGGTAATTGGTCCTGTGCCGAGGGTGTACTGGAACCTCACATAGGATCCGGCCTCTAGAGTCACTGCCAGCGCGCTATTGGACTCATCCGACAAGTAAAACAGCGCACCCTGAACTCGTGTCGCTCGGAAGTCCATTCTTATCTCAGAGTATATGGTCTTGTTTATCAAACGAGATGTTGGATTATACCGCACAGCCGTACTTCCTTGCACATTGAGAGCGAGACGAATCTACAACGTGGATAAGAATTTGTAAGATGACTTTAAACAATTGGTTTGACAAGTGGGTCAGTCCTAAAAAACAGACTTACTGTTGGAAAAAATTTTAGATGAACAGTCTACAACCACTTCAGGCCGAAATTTTGTATTGAAAACACAGACACACATGCGAACGAAAAAAAGATTCCATAGAAAAAAGAACATTAACGGGTAAAAGCGACTGAAGCCAATTTTTAGTTTCTAGGACTTCCAATCGCAATTAAAGTCCAACGCACCAGGTGTATGTCCCACAGCTTTACTACGAGTTCTGATTCTTTGCTGGCCAGATAGGCCTTTGATGTGTGCTGGTTATTTTCGACAGTTTTCGTCCGGTATGCAAGTAATAAATAGCGCGGAAATGGTCGCAGAATGAAGTCGCAACCTGCTACCCTCCTTTGTCGAGGGCGCACGGATCAATAAGACCTCTCCAGTGAACAAAAAAAAAGTCCTTCAATCGAACCAGTAATCAACCATTTCCCACATCGAATTAAGCAACAAATTTAAAAAGAATTATGCCTCACATCTATTTTTTAATTGTACTGATAAGAATTTGTTTTAACTATTCAGGTGAAGAGCGTATTCTGCGTTACCTTGGCGACATATTCTCTCGCCTTCCTGAGCTTTTCATCCAATGCAGTCATGTTTTGTCTCAGCTGAGCTTGTAAGGAAACTGTTATATTCCTGAGACGATCGGATTCCTGTACCGTGTTATCCACACTGCCCAGTGATTTACTTGCATTTCTTACTGTATCGAAAAAAAAAAAAACACATCGTAAGCAACGCGTTTTGTATCACTGAGTTCCAACTTATTTTGGCTGTGATATTAACCCTTCCTTGCTGAATAGCTACATAGAGACAACTTTGAATTACAGAGCACGTGACATAATCAACAGAGCTGTCGTTGATAAATTAGGAAAGGACTATTGCTAATTTCAAGGACAGTCTCTACAAAAGCTAATAGTAAGCTTACAATCCAATCATTGCGAATTACTTTGTCTACTTCTTTTACTGTGAGTGGTTACAATCGGGTAAAGAAACTATACCATTAAGAGCACTCCTGCTCTTCTCTTAATAGTAATTTTGAATCAAGTTCTAATTTCTAGAGCGAAAAAGTGAGAAATTGAAACCGGCTTATCTTGAGACGCTCAAGAAGCACAGGCCTACTACTGGTCATGATTGAATACTACAGGCTTACCATTATCAAATGCCTGGTTCAACAGCACTGCAGCTCTTTCCGCTGACTGAGTAATAGACTGCATTCTCTCCTCGAGTCTCTCCACTTGATTCAATAGGGCTGGGACACCATCATTAACCGGATTAGAGCGATACATCGCCTCTTCGAAATTGTCAGTGGCACTTTTAGAGTCAGAAACGATAGAGTGAGGGCTATTTCCTACTTCAGCAGCTTGCATCAGTGAGTCTCGGCTGGATAGCAGCGAGCTGTACTCACCATCAACTGACTCTCCAGTCATTACAGCCTTCGTGTATGTCTGGTTTGATGATGTCACATTCGCTCGTAGTCCTTAAAGGAAAACCTAAACGTGAGTCACTTTCTTACGAGGAAAACACGAATTCTTCCATGACAAGAAGACTTACCTGTTGACGACTGAAAACAAACAAACCAAAACAAAACAAGCGTACATATGTAAAATTAATACTGAAATAAGGGAAAACGCTGTAACTTGATGACACATCAGACCGGTTTTTGTAGCACTTAACAACATAATTGCCGATTTAGATGTAGGACTTAAGACGCATTGACCAAATTTTAATCAAATAAATAACAAAATAGTGCAAAAATGGTTCACGCCGGCAACAATGGAAGTTAAATGTTTACCTGGTAAGTTCAAATCTCTGTCTAATGTTTCGTTTAGGAGAGTTTCACTCTTATCTTGAGAGGAAGCAACTCTTGTTTGAAGGTCAGAGCTTACTAGGGTGAGGTTTTCGAGCTGGAGGAAATAAAATAGATAAAATTAAAAGAACAGTTGTTTGATATCTGTCATACACAAAGCTAAGAGATGAAAATCATACTACTTCTATTCATAAAACTGATGATGATGATGGTAATGTAAAGATAATGATCATAATAATGGTAAGAATTATGATAATATCAGTATTGATAATGAAAGTCTGCCGAGTCTCCTATCATAAAGGGTGGCTGGCTCTTTACAAACTGGTTTGTGAGGAAATAACTAGGATGTTGTATTACAATTCTGGATAAGTGACTCTTAAAGCTAAAAAAGAGGTACACTGAGATGTGAAACTCTGCAACGGAAGTAAAAGTTTTACTTCCTCTTGTTTTGCCAACTGCTGTCCGCTGTGGCTTTTTAGTTTGAAAGTAAAGAAGAAAAGGAAAAACAAGAGGAATAGAACATCTGAAACCAGTTAACTTGTTTTAAAAGATTGGCCAGAAAAATCTTCCAAGGCAGTAGGTCACGAAGTAATAATCAAGTTACTTACTCGGTTCATGATTTCCTGGAGTGAACTGTTCACTTGCTGTGAGGTTTCTAATGACTGATTTCCAAGCACAACTACTTCTTCAAATGTTTTAATAGCATCCACTGCACGTGCTCCGTGTGAAAGAGTGTTGTTAAACGCGCTGAAGAGAAAGGTGAAATGACAATTTCGAAATCAAAAATGAAACGAATCTAATGGAGAACAAGAGACGGCAGTGTTGGCCTACACTTGGGTTTCCAAAATGGAAATGGAAGATAGTCGTGAGCGTTGTATCTGTGATTCGAGCATACTGGCCATGATATAATTTGCTATATCTGTGGCCAAGTCGAGCTTCTCTTTAAAAGTCTTTCCATAAAGACTTCGACCATTGAGGAAGGACATAAGATTGCGCTTTGCTTGCTTTTGAGGGCCGTTTATGGCTTGTTGTCATTTCTAAAGGCCTCGCAGATCTTAAGATTGTCGGAGCCTGATGATTAGTGCCTGCACAGAAACGCCGGATGAGCCTTTTTAGACGATATGCGACGACCGCAAGGAAACTTTAAACTTTGGCTTTTCCACAGGAAGGGCATGTAAAACAACATGCCTTAGGTTTTTCAATAATGAGTATTAAGAAGCATAAATTGTAACAGATCTTCTTTACCTTTGCCTTTCCCTGGCTAAGGCTGTCAAATTAGCTGCATGTTTAGTAGCATTTTCCATTACACTTTGGTTTGCAGCAGATACCTCTGGAGCCACAGCTGTTAGAGAATTCTCCAATGTGTTCATGTTTGCTTGTAAACCACCGACAAGATCACTTGTATTCTGTAACAAAAGCAGTCCAACACCGGAAATAGTCACTTATTCACCACAACTAACTCTTCATATGCACACGTTGTTTCCAGTGTTAAAGAACACTTTGAGGGAACAACATTATCTGCTGTCTCGTCAATTAGAGGATTTCAAGTTCTCAAAGGCACAGCGATATAGAACCCTAGAATTCTTTTTCAAATGAAATTTTTTTTACGATCCCTCTCTACTTCGACAAGTCCTCTTATGTTTACCAGTGCGTCTCTTTATCACTGTAGAAAACCACAGAGCTCCTTCTTAAACTGTACAGAGCTTGTAAACACCTCTATTATTAATGGCTAGCAAGTGATCTAGCTTTCCTGTTCCTTCTTCTTCGTGGCTATTGCGCCTATAGACCAAACACTTTCCCCAGCCACGCAGGCTACATAACATTTCAGAACCTTGTTAGACCTTAAGTCATTTGTGACTGACATTTCATATTACCTTGTAGTAGTTATGGCCGGTTGAAACGCGCTGGCTACTGCTGTTTAAAATGTCAGTGACTATCTGAAGCAACTCAAGAGCTTGATCCGTTGTATTTCTCGCTTTATATAGTAAGTTCTGCAAGACAAAGTTCACCAAATAATTAAAGGGGACAAGTTCCTCGAAAAAATGTGTTGCTGCATAGGTTAGGAGGGGGGCGGGGGTGTTAGAAGATGATTTGCTTTTATCGACTAAGTTGACATTGTTAACTGGCCACTATTAAGAGTTTCTAAAACTGACGTTTCGAGCGTTAGCCCTTCGTCAGAAGCTTCATTTGGTACCTGTTGTGCGGTAAAACCAACTTTGTGCTTAGATGACTGAGTTACTTCAAGTTTTCAAATTTTTAAAGAAAGGTCAGGTCTATCGCACTAACGGAAAACTGGACACAGTAAAACATACCTTGGTTTGGTTCATTAGAACAACAGCTTCGTTGGTTCTATATGAGATTGTAACAATTTGCGGTTTCATCATATCAAACATTCCATTTGAGACCAAAAGGTTTCCTTGAGCCTCCAGCATGGTCTTGTTGAGGTTTTCTGACATGTTCTTGTGAGATGTCACATTGTATTGTGCTGATGTAGCCAGGGTGTAAGCGGATTCCACAGACTGAACCTCCTCATCAACTCGCTGCATTTCAATCTCGTACGTTTTGTTTATAATACTAGTTATACTTGCCAATACACTGTCTGCATGGTCTTTCCGCTTAGTGAGTTGATCCACTATTTCAGCAACTGTTCCGTTCAATGCTGTATGCAAAACACGTACAGACGTACAGTCTTCAGAATTTGATCGTAGATAATATTAACTTAGAAAGTTCAAATCATATTTTTGCTTTCATTCATCAATTTCCATCGATGCCATCTAAAAATGTCGCCATTTATAAACTACGTGAAGTTTGTCATTGTCCTCATTGTTCGCCTCTGCTTTATCTTAGAATATTAAGATTGTTCAGGGAATTGGAACATGTTAAAAATTATCTGCGAAGACCAAAAACATGACAAGCTAAAATAGTGTTTAACATGATTTAGTATATAATAAAATAGTGGATAGCATTGAAAGCGCGCTCCGATTGGCTACTCAAACTCTGAACATTTTTTGTCTAAGCAACGTGCACGGGACTCGCAGCCGAAAATTTTGTAATTGTTGCAGGAATAAATGAGTTAAAATCATATTTTTGTGCCATCTCATCTCACTAAATAGCCACCAATAGCCACCAACACTGAGGTGAATAGTTAACCATAGTGTGTTTTACTGACCTGTTACATTGTCCATCGAAGACTGGGTGTTGGCGTTTAATTCTTCAATCCGGTGTAACTCGCGAGAGACGATAGCTGTCAAATTTTCGCTCTCTAGCAATGTCCTTGTCAACTGAAGGGATATTAATAGCAGTTAAAAAATTGTTCTTGCTAAAGTATAAATGGCGGAATAAAGAAAAAGGAACTGAGTCCGAGAGTAAAACTACAACTGCCTTCACATCGATAGAATTCTCTCAAACCTACAGATCTAGTGGTAGTGTATAGAGCATTATCACTGTGCCAGTTCACATTTGGCTGATATGAAGATGTTCATTAACATTTGCTAAACTTTCGATACCAGTTCAGAATTAATGATTGGATGTTAAATCAACTGATCAACAGATAAGCTGTTCGAGAGAGCTACGAAGTCTTCTGTTTAGTTTTCAAAATCTTACCATGTCTTGTAGTTCACTGACTGTTCTGTTTGGAGTGCTCTTCTCAAGTTCAGTTATGTTTTGAAGAAGACCCTTCACCAATGTGTCAAATTCAGCTGAGGATTTCTACCAAAGTAAATTCTATGTTAATGTAGCTCAGCTTTACCAATCTTTATCAAGGCTATGTGTATGTGGACCCTAACTGTACCAGGGGTAAGTTTCTAAAGAAGCTGTGGCGCTGAGTCAGTGGGAGTAACAAGCTAATCTTGGTTTTCTCAACCGAGTTGATAATGTAAACTGTCGACCGTAAAGAGTTTCAAAGCTGATGTTTCGAGCGTTATCCCTTCGTCAGAGCGAAGACCTATCCACCTATTTTATCATTTCGAAACAATTTATTTCAGCAGTATTTTGACTGTTGGTGATACCTCAAATTAACAAGTCCAAGCAAGTAAAATTTCCAGAATGCATATCGATTAGCCAGCGTAGCAGGGCGCTCGATTAAAATAAAGCGGCGGAACTTCCAGTCCCGCTCCATGTTTTAAAGTGCTCACAAAAGCACCAGCTTCTCAAGCTGCAGATGCTAAGAAGCCTCTCATTGGCGTTTCAGATCCAGTTCATACTCGTGCAAAAAGTGAAAAACAGTGTTTGGATAAGAGTCTAGAAAATTCCACTACTGTTAAATTGGCTCCAGAATCAATCTTCACATGTAGACGAAAGTTTCTTTAAACACTGAAATTCCGTAAAAGAATTTTTATCAGCCCCTGAGGTGCATCATGTAAAGGTTCCAACACAATCAAACCTGTGCTTCAGTAATAAGACCTTCCACTTCCTCCAGCTCTGGCCACAACTTCTTCAAGTTAGAAATCTTCTCAGCTTTCTGTTGAGCTTCTTTCATGACTGTTAGAGTTATGTTAAGATCCCCTTGTAAACCGAGTCTGGTGCAGAGTGGACATGCTGTAAACAGAACGAAATCCTCGACTGTTAGATTACCATAATCACTGTAGAAAACAAAAACTCTTTGTACCTTATTATAACCCAGCTTGTGCACTGAACAGTTTGTTTTTCTCTTAAAAATATTTAACCAATTTTTGTTTATCATAGAAAAACCATGAGCACAGTAAGTCTGATTAATATAGAAAAAACACAGGAAAAAAGTCTATATCATCCTATGTCCGGGACATTGAATTGCAATCAAGATACTTCAAATAAAACGTCTAAAGATGGGTAAAATATTCGTGAATACGAATTTATTTTCCCATAGGCCGTCTTTTTCATTTACTAACAAGGCTTGTGACACTTCTCCTTTGCGAAAATCACTTACACGTTTTACTACAAAATTTATACAACCAAGAAGCTGTACTCACGGTCACAGCCATTTCCTGAGAAGTTCGTATGTTGCACCATACATTGGTCACACACTCTACTTGTCACGCCGGGCTTACATTGACACTGGCCTGTAGTGCGTTCACATTGCGAGGAATTGTGCGAGCCAGTGGCATTGCAGTTGCAAGCTGAAAAAAGATGCGGAATATTATTAGAATTTATAACTTTTCCTTTTACTACCCTAAAAGTTGAGAATTGCAATTAAGCTACTTGGAGTATGAACACACTAACAATAAAGAACTTCAAATGAATCGTTCAAACTAGCCAAACTCCTTCCTTTCTGGTTTAAAGTTGCCTCTTCCTTCTTTTCTAACCCAAAAAGCTAACACTCTGTACCCTCTTTTGAGCTGAAGTTAGATTTGCTTAGCGCGAAAAAACAAAAAGACAAACGAGAAAAACTCAAAACATGCTGAAATGGCTCCTATAACGATTATACAAAAACATTTTAAGTCACAAGACGTAATAAAGCCTAAATACTTGACATTCTCGCAAGTGATCTCTTTTTACTATTAATAAATACAAATCATTTTCATTTGATGACACACAGTGTGTTCATTACCTTGACAGGTAGCGTTAGGAAGTCCAAAGTGCCCCCACTCACACAGGTCACACTTGTCACCAAGGGTGTGGTTCTTACACTCACAGATTCCTGATTCATTACACTGAAGAGAGCTGGATCCAAATTTGTTACATTCACAGGGTGTACATCCGCCGGAAGTAAAGTTATAACTGTAGGGCTACAAACATAACAAGAACTCCGTAATAAATCAATTGTGAATACTGTCCACGTTTAGATCAGTGCAATACTCTATCCTTTCACAGCCAAGATTTCAATATCAATTCTCTTAATCGTCTTGTATACATTTCTTGGGAATTTGGCTTTAAGAATTTGGTGTTAAGTCCACCAACCCGTCGACTAGATATCTTTCCTCTCATCGCTTTCTACTCGACAAAATATTGATTCTGTGAGAAATTACTTACTGCTTACTCCCGGAAGCAAAGGGTTCAATGCGAGCTCCATACCCTTAAGAGTTGTCACAGTTATGACGGTCTAACACATGTCGACCGTAGTTGAAGATAGATAAACAGTCACAACTTTATACAATAGATCACTTATGACGTGCGGTGACGAAGTCTAACATCCAGAAAAATAACACGACATAATTGACCAACCAGCTTTCGTGAACCGAAGTTATAAAATTCGACCATTTAACACTCCTAACTTGACCTTAATGATGACTTCCGGTAAGGTGGTTTAAACTTCAGTAACTGCCACCAACAACAGTCCTTCTCTGGACCATCCCCATTCCGAGGACCACAATCCACGTTAGTCAAAAATAAGTAGTCGAACATATTTGAACGCGAGCACAGCCGCACATATCTACATTTGTATCTTGATGAAACCATTCCAGACTGTTTAATGCACTCTGGAGTCTTGTTTATGAGCTAATTGTTTTCTCAGTGCCACACTGTATTGATTACCTCGCATCTGGAGCAGTTTAGTCCTGTTACACGAGGTTTACATTCACATTGCCCAGTCACGTGATTACAAACGTTATGATAAGCTCCAACACCATCACAGACACAAGCTGCAAACCAGATTTGTTCAAAAGTAGTTAATCGTTATTTTCATTCTTATCGTTTTCCATTACACACAATGTCTGAATGAAAAGTATTTAATTGGCACTCGCACGGAGCAGACTTTCGGAGGCAAGACTGACTGGGTTAGATTCGTCACTAAACCCGTCCCTCAAAACTTGAATCTGATTAAATTCCCACTCATTCCCCTGAGCTTGTAATTGTTTCATCGTCAATTGTAAACATCCATATCTTCAAAGTAAGAAAAAAAAGCAAGGCAAGATGTTTCTGCGACACGATTCGGGACAAGCTGTATCCGTAATTTGTGTGACCGCTACATAAATTTCGTCCATCCAAAAATCACTAAAATTCAAACAAGTTTGAATTCATGCGTATGATCGCAGTGACTTTCAATGGAATAGATACACTGATTAAAAAGCTTGAAGCGCCCGTTAGCAATATGAAGCAAATCCCGTGTTCTGATTGGCTACCCGAATGGTGCAAGAAAATGCTAAAAAAAAAGAACTCGGCCAATATCCAGTCAACTTGACTACACGCCTGGTCAATAACCCATATACATCTTGGAGAAGTTTGCGGCAGAGACCTCACACATCAACCTATCATTTGATGTATTCTGCCCTTCAAAATGAGAATCACATTTACCTTGACACTGCTGTGCGGAAGCATTACCCCATGTTCCATTCTCACAGCGTTCACAGTGAAATCCAGTGGTGTTATACTGACAGTTCAAACACTCTCCCGTTGTTCTGTTGCACACATCTGAATTATTGTTACACTGACATCTTGAACAGCTTCCTCCCGGCAAGAGAGGTTCGCCAAAGAACCCTCGCGTACAACTATTGTAACATGATAGTGATTAGATTCTAGAAACAATGCTCCATCGATTTCTTCCATTCATTTGTTTATCCGACAGTTCAGCCTTACCTTCCACATATGTCACCCTCGTATCCCTCAGAACAGTTGAGACACTTCGGTTGACCGTCAGCTCGAGCTTCGCAAAGAGCACTAAACAAGGGGGAAAGGGAGAGAAGGTAAAGGGGAAATCTTAGCTGCAATAACTTGTGTCTGTTATACGTACAAGACAAGGTGAATTGTTCCGTGGCCTCGTCGAGAGAAAGTGCCATGTTCTTTTAAGCGCCTTTTCAGTGTAAAGTCAGAGGAGCAGCGTCAGTTTTTTCAAGGGGGGTGGGGAGGGAGTAATAACTTTCCTCCGCCCTTGCGTGAGATGGCTTATACCGCTGCTTTACCTTGTGTATCAGCGGGCTCGTATTCGAGCAGAAAGAGGGATCGGTGAGTGGGGACTTAAGAACCGAAAAAATCTTTGCCAAGCAGATTTTCTGGATTCGCCTCTTTTCACCAACTGAACAATATGGTTTGTATCTTGTTTATATCCAAAAACAAATCTACTTAAAAAGAGGAGGAATAAGGGCAGCTAGGAAACCCCATTACCTATGCCCCTGGACATTTTAAATTTTGACCATACCAACAAAACTCAAAGGTAATCAAACAATCGCCTTAATTTCCCTCTTCTTCCCAGACCATAATTTACCTTACTTCCCAGTACTATCATGTACTTTAAACTAATTCATACTCACGTGGTTGTCCGTGGTTCCTCACAGGGACATTTTTTGCAATCACCAGGAGTTCCATCAGTAGCATTACCATAGAAACCATCCAGGCAGATCTCGCAGTGAGAACCAGTGGTGTTATGGGCGCAGTTCTGGTCAAACAAAACATGCACAAAGCCCTTTAATTTTCTATTCACGAAATTGTTTCTGTTGGAATAAAACTATGCTTTTATAACCACCAGTGACTAACCATGATCACTGTAGTACGGAAAGTTAACAAATAATTTATCCTTTTGACTTTTGCCAGTAACTGTTGTCAGAAGAAAAAAAGGGAAGTACATCTCCTTGTTGTTCATCAATCAAGTCTAAGAAATAGAGCACGTTTCGAAAGTAATCATTGCGGCCAATCAGAAGAAAGGAAAAAACGTTAAAGAGCCAATGAGAACTCAAAGTAAAAACAACCAAACTGCTTATAGCGCGGGAAAACGCGGGTGACCACATCATGTTTGATTATTGTTTGTATCTGATTGGTCGAGAGAATGGCACGGGTTTTCTAAAACGAAGCAATCTCAAACTTCTTTCGACAATCAATTAAAAATTAGTCTATCAATGATCAACACTACTGCAAACGTAAAAAGGAAAGGAAAATATATTCCTACCAAGCACTGTCCTGTAGTTGGGTCGCAGTCTTCTGTGTGTCCATTGCAGTTACAAAGCTCACATTTCCCGAGAAACATGTCATCTGACACATTCACTCTGTGATACCCTCTGGCACATCGCTGAAAATTAGTAGAGAATATTATAGACAATTAAATGGGAATAACATGCTAGAGCTCTTTAATCACTTATGACTGGACGAAGACGATACATTTTGATTCAGTAAATACTGGACAAAAAAACTCGGAGATCTAAAACTACAAATCAGAGGACTACATCATGAGAAAGCCTCCTCGCACTACTTATTGAACACTAGTCAAAGTAGTGTAGTGATTATTGCCATACCTCACACGACAAACCAGTATAACCCTCTCCGCAGCTACACTGCTCTACTTCATAAACTCTTCCTGCATCTGACATCATTTCACTGACATCAGCAATTTGAACATTACCCAGGCTGGAAATGACAATAAAATTGCATTTTCACTTCACGATGACAAATTATAACTCAGAAATGGTGCTTTATGGAAGGCATCATCACTTGATGCAATAATGAGAGAATATTGACCGGCAATAGAGCATTTTGATTGGTTGATTTTAGTTATTGGCCCTCTGACTGCCCGAGTCGTGTAATAAATAGTAGTAAATGCGATTCATATCTATGTGGTTTGTATGTTCTGTTAGCGTTGCTATTTGAAAAGTGTTAGTTACAAAGAACCTGCTTTTCTTGGAGGTGACAAAACCCGATACAATATTTTTATTTTTTCCCACAAAGTTCAAGGCCGAACCTCGCAGCAATGAACACTTCTTACGTAGTAGTGAAAATAAGGCCTGAGAAATATCCAGGCCCATACGGGATTTGAAGCCATGACCTCTGCGATACCGGTGCAGTGCTCTACCAACTGAGTAAACAAGCCAAATGGGAGCTGGTCATTATGTTGGTTCATTTTAAACCAGTGAAGTGATGAATCAATGAATTTGAAGATATGAAAATCATAATTTATTATGTGTTCTGCAGTTTTAAGACTGAAATGTTTGAAAGCTATCCTCGCAGTAATGACACTAGCTACTTATGTGGTAGTAAAAATAAGGCCTGAAAAAATTAAGTTCGAGACCATCCTATGACTAGTACTAGCTTCACTTGCAAGAGAATAAGTTCAATTACAATCGTAACAGTAGTTATTAAGAAAAATATTTTAAAGCCAACTGACCTTGTGAGGTATAAACCTTGGCCAGCAGAATAAAATGATGCAGTGATAAATAGAGCTTGAACCCTGGCTAATACTAGCAGGAAATCTTCCCTAGATACTACTGATAAGCTTTCACTGTAAACCCAGGCATTCTGACGAAAAAAAAAAAGAGACAAGTTGTGAGGAGTTAGTACATTCTTCCTTTCAGTGAATTTCTGAAATTTAGCAATGAAAAAAAAAAGTGATACTACTGAACAAAGAACCTACTTCTCTCATCATCACAGTTCTTGTAGTTAGCTGGTCAGCAGATACAACTGGTAAAGGATGCTCAATGGATATGTTTCTGACACCCTAGATTAAAAAAAAATTGGGTAAATAAAATAACTTTGTGAGTTATGGAGGCATAAATATTTATCACACAACAACGATTCTTTATGATTCACCTTTATGATAACTTTTGGCTGCAATTCTGCCAGTGTTCCATTTTCCAGTGGCTTGAAGAAAAGTTTAAAACTCATATTTCCTCCATAAGCACCAACCTAAGGATAAATAACAAATTATTACCCCATTAATGTCATTCGCTTGCACTGGTAGGTAGATTCCACTCATATCAGATGTTCAGTACACCACCATTTGACTTGAAAGTTTTCCTTCTCTTTGCCTTAATTGTGTGGTTATTTACTTTACAAGCAACTGTCTGATGACCCAGGGTTTTATGCTAGATCGGATGGTATACAGTACCATATCCAGTTATCTTTAAAGGTTTCTCAAGGTACTCATTTTGTTGCAAAATCATGATGTCACAGAGGAGACAACATGCCACTAAACTGCAAAACTTGACACTTTCTACTTCTCAACTTTATCTGCTTCAGCTTGTGTAGCGTACTTAAAACTACAGAGATCATTAATAGCCTACATGTTTAAGACTAAAAGCTTTACGACTAGACATTTTATAACTGGATACAACATAACTAGTGTTCTCACCAGACTGTGATCAGTGAAGTTAGCACTTGCTTTCCAATAGAGTGTTTCATTGGTTGATACATTTGCTGCAATCATGGTTACTCGGACACTCTCATCCTAACAAAAACACAAAATTAATTATAGAAGATTCTATTATTCTGCTGTATAAACTAATTTTGAAAGACACTAAGAAAAAGCTGAAAGGGATGCATTGGTTATTTATAGGGGCTGAAGTAAAGTACCCCTTTCATAAAAAGAGTGAAGCATATATTATGATGCAACAAAATACTTGCAGTCTATTCCCAAACTATATTTCAGAATAACATCACTCAAACATGCATCCTAATTAATCTTTATTTTCACCTTGAATCTCCAATTATCACTACAGTTAAGTGCCTAGCCTATTAAAGAGACAAACTCAAGGTGATCCAGTGACTTGAAAGCCACAAGTTGATTTCTTTTTATAAAAAAATGCTGTCTTACCATAACATAGATCTGAGAGACGTCTTTGTAGTTCTGATTATCATCATGTGATACTAATTTCCAAACGTCCAGGTCAACTTGATTCTAAGAGCATACAAAAACATTCAGTCACAGTTCTACTTTTACCAAATGTTGTAAGTTCTGTTGGGTATTCCTGTTGGGTATTACACAAATGTCCAGGAAAATGTCAAGATTGCCTTGCTGTCAGAATGATTCTAAGAGGTGGCAAGTCACCACATTAAGTTCAACAATAAATCTTCTTCCTTCAAAACCTTCATAAATTAAACATTGCTATTGTTAGTAATACTCTCTCATCATTTACAATAATGATGGCATGTTCCCCCTTGAACCCAATGAAAAGAGTGGGAGTTGATAACTTAACACACCATCCATGTAGTTCAGGGTGTGTTGACCAACAATTTGTAAGACGTCAACATCAGAGGATAACATTAACAAGGACAAACTTACAGTTAGATTATTTTATAAAAAGATTGAAAATAATCATCATTGTCTTCCATTCACCTGTTTTCTGTAATATCTTGTACTGCTGCAGTTGGTACTGATTCCCAAACACACACAATTTGTACATCCTTCAGGGTTACTGTTTGTCAAGTAGAAATACCCATTCTTACATTTGTCACAGAGCAAACCAGCTGAGTTGTTCTGGAGAAAATAAACCAGATACATTCACCCAATCATTAGGAAACGTATGAACACAGATAACTCTGTAAATAGAATAAGAAAGATGGTAGATTGAGGTGGGTAAAAGAAATAGAGAAAGATATTTATTTGTCTTGTCACAAGCATGGGACAAAAGAAAATTCTGAGTCCACATGAGGAATTCAACCTCAGACCGTCAGATTCTGCACTTTGATGCTCTTAGCTTACCACTGAGCCACACAGACTCTATGGTGAGCAAGGCAAATTACAAAGTTTGTATATAGCATGCATCCTGCATACTGCTACGATTGGCAACGCCAATGGTGTCATGTTTGTTAATAGAATATGAAAGAAGGTAAATTTCGAGCTCTGTAAATAAATCGAGAAAGTAATTATTAGTTTATTATATGGCTGTGTCTCACAAGGACTAGGAACTACCGAATTCCCGAATTTTATTGGCTGAAATTAATATTGAAGGTGGTCTAGATTTTCCCATCTAGACCAGCATCTAGACCAGTCTAGAAAAAAAGGTACGAAGAATATAAAAAATTGGCATGTATGACAGAGCGGCATAATAAACATCTTATTAACTGAGCTAGGTCGGTCTGTATGGGAGAATCTTTACCTTGGTCCCTGGTACAGACCTCATTGTGTTCAGTCTGTATTGGCGACCTCGGTCAAGATTCCCCATACAGACCTCCCGCTTGGTTAATAAGAACTAAATAATATCAGTCAGATAACTCTACACCTGCAAGGCTGTGCTCTAAGAAAAATTGAAGGGAGCCCAGTACTCTGAAACTGTGAAATCCAGGGTGCCCAGCATATGCTTTTTTTATGAAAAAAGTAAGATTCCTGAGTTGCCCAAGTGCAAAAGTAAGGCACCAGGGGCCACCAGGTGCTGCTAGACCACAGCCCTGTACACTTTACATGAGTTTAAGTTGTTGAGTCAAGATTCTGTTCACCATTCAATACTTTCCTTTACGGATCAATTCTTGCAGGCTATTGAATTGACCATTAACAATTGATGCTTGGAAGTCAAGTGACTACCATCTTACATCTACATCAGACAAAAATTATTTCTTTCTTGAAAGAATTGCTGGAATAGTGGCTTCAATAGATCTAGAAATTGCTGTGTTGTTGGAACTGCTAAATATAACTATCCTTTGTGAATTTACACTTGCAAAGTTAACATAAATGCACTGGTCCACAGAGTTAAATTTGAATTAAAACTGTGCTAACCTTGCAAGGACACTGTTGGGAGACTTCATTACACACTTCACTCAAACTTCCATTTCCATCACAGTTACACGGAGAACAACCAGAAGTGGAGAAATTTTTGTAGCCATCCATGCACTCAGTACACTTCTCACCCTGTACACCGGGCTTACAGCTACAATGAGTCAGGAGAAAATATACTGGTAAATATCTTATACTAACTGAGTTTAAGGTCCATATTGTAGGTCACAGACTAAGCTTTTTCTGCACAGATAAACATGTATGGCCCGCATACATGAAGTGCACAGGCCATATATCAGAGCAGATAAAACAAAGTTAGTAACATATTTATTGAATTTAGCAGGTTCTACAGTGAAACATGGCTTGCCAAATTGACCAATCATGGAGCACATGCTAACTGTGAGGTATAATAAAATTATCAATAAAAATAACTGCTTTTAATGACTAATTATCATGAGTAAGCTAATTAATACCCAATGATAGTTACCAACAGTAGAAGCTAGGTGGAAATTAATGGAAGCACACATAAAGACAATGTTGCACAGCACATGACCAAACACATGGTTCATATTTGTACAGCCTCAGCTGCAGTCAAAAACATTTGCAAAATACAGGTAATTCCTGCACATATTCAGAAAAGAAAATAAATAACATTATGTACAAACAATTTAGATCATACCTGCAAATCCCTGTAGTAAGGTTACACTGCAAATTCATAGATCCAACTGAGCTGCAGTTACAAGCCTAGAAAACAAATTTATCCAAGAAAGTTACGGTGAAACATTTGGGTACCTTTCTAAAGAGCCAGAAATTTAGTTCTTTGTTTCAAATAAAGTGTAACATGGTAAAAAATTACCTGGCAACCAACTGTTTCATTCCATCCCCAAAATGAATGATCACACTGATTGCATGTGCGACCTACAGTGTTTGGAGGACAGGTGCACTGGCCAGACTCAGCATTACAAATTTTATTCTCACCAACACAACCACATGCTAAGAGTAAAAAAATAGGAGTCAGGATAATGCATTTCCTTATTAAAATTAAGGCATCATTTGTGGTGGTAATTTATCTTAAACCACTACAGTAACTGTACTCTGCAAAAACCTTCCAGCATTGTATATCATCTAAGTGAAAAGGAATCAAGCACAGATGGACATATTGTTTACATGCACATCCACATGGGAAAAGGTCCCACGGTGTTCTGATATATACAATATTATACAGCCAGATTCTCTTTCAATATCGTCTTGTCTTTTCTTAAAAAACACAAAAAAGTTTTGATGTTCCATCAGATGTAATTTAAACCTCAATTCCATATATCCCTTTATTTGAAACTGGACCCTCCTATATCATTCATCAGACCTTAATTGAGAGAATCTAAAAAAGAATTGCACTAAATTACCTAAACATCCCTTGGAGGTGAAATTGTAAAATCCTGCTATACACTGATCACAGGTCCTCCCAGTTACACCTGGTTTACAGTGACACTGACCACCATACTTTTGACATGTGTTATTTACTGAGCCCGTCGCACTGCAATTGCAGGCTGGAAAGTAAAATGCCAATGATGCAAGTTAGTAAAGCTTAGCTTTTGCATGACTAAAATGTAAAACAAACAGTTGCCTTTTCTACCTCATGCAAATGCAAGCTGACAAACTGATCCTACAACCGTAGGTCTACAGTAGGGCAAACTTGTTTAACTATAAAATGTACATGATGAGTTTCAATCTTTTTCTTGGTTTAAATTTTAAAAAATTTAAACTGGTTTGAAAAATTTGAATGCAAGTAAAAGTTTAAACCTCGATCACCATATTGCAGGGTAAGGCATTCATACAGTTTGCTAGCACTTATCAGTTGGTTATTCCTTGTAATTCTTGTATTAGGCACAGGTTAAAAAATTAAGTAGTACATGCATTTCGTGTTATGGATAGAAAGGAGAATCTTAAGGTACCGGCAATAAATTTTAGCAGAGCTGAACCATTTTCATGACTGCATATATATAATGTTTAAGCCATGAATATCACATTGAGAGTACCATTATGCTCTTTAGCCCCTGCTTCATTATCTACTACACTGGTCAAGATCTTCGGATTTTCTACAGCTGTGGTGTAATGCAATCATGCACTCATAATCCTAAGATAGAGAGCATTTGATCCAAGTGGTGGAAAACCAAACCCAAAGTAATTGCAAAAACTTATATAAGGGCTCTACTGAAAACTCCCTTGGTGAGTTGGGTTCCCCCTTAATATTATCATCATCATCATTATTAGTTATTTTATATCATTGTCATTAAGATATTACAACGAGCCAATGAGAACTCCAAAAGTAAATGTAAGCAAACAGAATAAGGAAGCAACAACAAACATATGAAACATATGTGTGAACTGCGGTTATGAGACGTATATGTGAACGATCCTTCGCAGTAAAGCACTATTTGAGCAATAGTGAAAATCAGACCTGAAAAAAATTTCAGGCCTGTACGGGATTCGAACCACTGACCTCTGCGATACTAGTGCAGCGCTCTACCAATTGAGCTAACAAGCCAACTGGGAGCAGGTCATCAAATTAATTCGATATAAACCCGTAGATGATAAATCAAACAACAACAAACATATGAAACATATGT